AGGTCCTCGCTGATGCCGATCTGCTTGGCCCGATCGATGAAGGCGGGCGCCGACTCAAGCCCAGCCATGGGTCCTGGGCAACAGCAAAATCCGATTTCACAGGTTGCCCACGGCAAACTCAACCGTGGGCGTCGTTGTATCCTTCAATTTCGCAATCTTATATCGCCGAGCCCAGGCGAACTATCAAAAACGCCGGCGATCGCAGCCGGCACCGTCTGATCAGAGCACGGTCTCATGCTGCAGCCCAGCACAGTCAACGGGGCACAGCGAGGGGGGAAATCCCTGGCACTCAAAGCCGCTTCCCTCAATTTTGCCGGCCTGGGACTCAGCAGGCGGCACGGGTTGAATTCCCACCGCTTCGGCAAGCTCAGCCAAAGGTCTGCGAGCGCACCTCAACTCGCTCAAAGCTCTAATCAAGACGCACTCTGACAAATCTCAGTCGGCTCGTCTATTCCCATCTCAGCTAGCCCGGGCACCATGTCATGAGAGTCAGAGGCTCATGCACTCGCTCCGCTGGATTGCGGCAAACGACCCGGTCTGTTATGTTTTCCCCCTCAAGCCGCACACTGCTGGCAGACATTGTCCTGGGCCTCCTCCGGACCCATCAAGCGCAAATTGGCTGTGACTTTCCTACCGCACTTCAAAACATCAGGGCTGACCATCTTATGCACAACTCCACTCAAGACGTGCATGTACGTCGTCCCCGAAAAAGCGCAGCTCAGCCTAGGGCGGACCTCCTCAGGAACCGGAGCCCCTAGGTCATCGTTGAGATCGCCGAGGTCGGTTATGTCAGACCCGGCCTCAGAGATATTCTCCTCCTGAGGCTCCCCAGCTGGTAAATCCTCAGCCGTAGTCTCGGGAAGATGCTCAAAGTCTGCGGGATCTGCATGCAGAGCCCTAGCGACCCTCTCGGCCCTCGGAAAGTCTGGACTAAACACTCCCCGGCTCACAGCACTCACGACCTTGGCCACCTTCACGATGATCTCCGCGAGGGCATCCCGCGAGTAGAGGAGGGCCATCCCGTGCTTAGGGCTGCAGTGATGTCCCTGAGTAAGGCGTTCCTCGTAAGTCATGGTCCCGCTCTTGGCCGTCCAGGACAAAGCGGTTGCTTTCAAGCTGTGGGAGCTGAACTGCTCCAAGTCACCGGTGAAGCCCTGCAGGTGCAGGAGTTCGCGAAGCCATAGAGAGCCCTCGGCAGCAGTCATGGCTCTCTCGAGGAAGTTGCCCCCAGGCGACATAGCCGGCATGATCACTGAGGAATTCTGCAGCCCCGCGAGGGCCCGCTTGCGCATCCAGACTCGCCCCCAAGAAGGCTGGGTGAGGCCGCTGCCCAGAGCAATGAGGGGGAGCACAGTGTCCTTCCGGTCCTTGGCCTTGGTCTTATAATGCTTTGTAGAGCACTCCAGCAGAACCAAACCGTTGCCCGCCACATCCATGACCATGGACGTCCCACGGGCCGCATCCGACCAGCGCGCAGAGGAGTAGATGCAAAAGAGCATGAACCCCGCTATGCTGGCCCTTGCACAGTCCTCGGTCTCGTGGACGAACTCCTCGAGAAGTCGTACCGCCTCCTCGGGTAGGGGCGGTGCCTGCCAGAGCGGCCTCTTGACCATGGCCATCGCCTTTGCCGCCCCCTGCACTCGGGGCGAGATCCGAGCATTCTGAACAGCCCCGGTCAGATGCATGAAGAACCGATAGGACTTTAGAAAGGACTCTCCCGCTGTGGCTCCGGCTTTGGTTCGGCGCAGGTGCAGCATATAGGCGTACAGCTCACCCTCGGAAGGCGCCAGAGGGCGCCCTTTGCTGGCCACGATCCATTTGGCAAACCTTGAGAAGTCCGAGGCCCGCTTGAGCAAAGTAAAGTGCTAGCAGCCTTGCCAGAGAAGGTGTCCTCGATGGTCGAGGTCAGTATGGCCTCCTCCACCAGTGACCCTGCAGAGCCCACAAGGTTTCTCCCGAGCTCGGAGTCGTCCGGGTAAAACAGCACGATGAGCCTAACCTTCTTAAGTGCAGAGAGCCGGAGCATGTCATCGCTCTTGGCAAACCTGGCCGCAAGAAGTCGTCTGGCCTCGTACGTACCTTTGGGAACCCAGGCCCACGGCCGCGCTGAAGGAGCAGGAATCACGGCTCTGGTAAGACCATCAAAACGCCCAAGCAGAGGCTCCTGGAAAATGAAGCTAGGCCCCAGCCGGGGCTTCACCGCCCTTTCCCACGGCATCACCTGACGGGAATGCCTGGCAAGAACCAAACTCGAGTTCATGGCATGCCAGTCGCCAGTGCCGTTGCCAAAGCTAGCAAAGTCGGCGAGCTGCTGCTCCAAGTGGCTCGCAGTTGGGTCGTCGTCATGGGCGGGCAGGGAGTCTTCACGAGACATCAAACTCCCCAACTGTTCCCCGGTCAGCTCATCACCCTCGGCTGGGCCACTCGACAAAGCCCCCATCGGCTCCTGGTCAGCTGAGCCCCCGTGAGGTTCATCTGGAGAGACGGGGCTGGTCGGAATGGCCTGCAGAGGAACCTGCTGCCAAGACCCATCAGAAGACGTGTTGGCACCTCCGAGGGGATCTGGGTACTCGGCTTCAGCACTCATCTCCCCCGGAAGAAGAAGCCGCAGCCGCACCCTCAAGGCTCCAACGGAGCCGGCGACTCGTCACAGAAAGCCCGGAACAAGCGCCGAAGCGCGTTGACGCACCACTCCAGGACCCTGAGACGGCCGCTATGTTGCTGCTCCAACTCCTCGAGCGTCTCAACCCTGCGCTGCAGGTGCTGGACGCGTCCAGCGAGATACAGCACGCTCTCTTGTAGACTCTGCACCGAGTCCGCCGAGCAAGCTTCAGAGGAGGGCGGCGAGCCGTCCATGGCTCGAAAAATTTTCCTCGGCAAAACTC